AGGTGTAGTGACAGGAAGTTGAAGAGGCACCTGTCCGTGGGCCTTTTTTCTGTGAAATAAAAATTTAGATTTTGGTGTCTCTTCATTTTAAACAGCTTCTTATTTGCATAGCCCCTTCAAACTTTGCTTTGAGGTAGACAGAAGTTCAAAAAGCAGTGCAAAGGAGGTGGAAGAAGGGAAGTATGTTCTGGAAATATCTGATGACAGATTAGATGGTGGAATGATAGAGAAGAGAGCATTCATTTATTCTTTTGTTTTTTTGTCAAAGTTTCATAAGCCTGTAATGTAAGAAGTCAAATAATTCTACAACAGATGTTGTTGCCACAAAGAACAGTCTCTGTTCACACATCTCTTCCCCCAGAGGCAACTAACTTCAACTATTTCCATCAGCTGTTTTGAAATTTATGGGGGCTGGCACTATGGCACAGTGAGTCAATCCTACTAGTCCCGGCTGCCAATCCAGCTCTCTGCTATGGCCTGGGATAGCAGTAGAAGATGCCCCAAGTGCTTGCATTGCTGCATGCATTTAGGAGACTGGAAGAAGCTCCTGGCCCTGGCTTCAGATTAGTGCAGATCCGGCCATTGCAGCCATCTGGAGAGTGAACCAGTGGAAGGAAGACCTTTTTCTCTGTCTCTCCCTCTCACTGTCTGTAACTCTAACTCTCAAATAAATAAACAATATATTTAAATAAAAAATAAATGTATGTCCATACCAGGAATAATATGCATGTGTTTCCAATTCTGATTGGTCTGTTCTAGGCATCACCCATGGACTTGCACCTAGGGAAGATGCCTTCACCCCTTCTGCCAAATGCCTTCACCCCTACCACACAGATGCCCTCCTGCCAGTCCCCAAATCTCTAAGGCATCGCATCACATTTCTGGATAGATTAATATTCTGTGTTTATGTCTGTGACTAAAGAAATGCTATTTACAGATGAGCCACGGACTTCTCCATGATCACTTTTCCTTGCCTGGGCATGTTTTTTGTCTTGTCTGAAATTAATAATTATCATATGAATAAATATGTTTGCTTTCATGAATTTTGTTGCCACTAAGCCAACCACAGAGTCCCTTTCTCTCAGAATGCTTGAATCCAAGAAACAGACCCTCAATTTTACATTATTGCATAAGCCTGCTCCAGGTTACCCTCAGCTCCTCAATTCTGGTGCTTGGCTGTTACTGCCCATTCCCTTCTACTCTCTCCTTTCTTAGGTCTTCAGTTCCCTGTGTCTTCCTCTTTTTAAGTTTACACCCTCAGTTTAATGGAGTGCCTCCTCCAATGGCTTCCTAAGAAAAGGTACAAAGGAAATAAAATGCTTGAGACCCTGTATGACTTTTTTTTTTTTTTTAATTTTTTGACAGGCAGAGTGGACAGTGAGAGAGAGAGACAGAGAGAAAGGTCTTCCTTTGCCGTTGGTTCACCCTCCAATGGCCGCCGCGGCCGGTGCGCTGTGACCGGCGCACCGCGCTGATCCGATGGCAGGAGCCAGGTACTTATCCTGGTCTCCCATGGGGTGCAGGGCTCAAGCACTTGGGCCATCCTCCACTGCACTCCCGGGCCATAGCAGAGAGCTGGCCTGGAAGAGGGGCAACCGGGACAGAATCCGGCGCCCTGACCGGGACTAGAACCCGGTGTGCCGGTGCCGCAAGGCAGAGGATTAGCCTAGTGAGCCGTGGCGCCGGCCCCTGTATGACTTCTAATGCCATTCACATATTACCAGATTAAAAGTACATGTATACATATGATTGTAATAGATGTAAACAAAGCATTTATAAAATTCAACATGTTTATGATTTAAAAAGAAGCTCTTAATGCAGAATTATTCACAATACCCAAAAAGTAGAAATAACTCAAGTTTCTATCAGCAGATGAGTAGAAAAATTAAATATGGTATGTTTATATGTACATATATAATAGAACATTATTCATCATTAAAAAGGAGAAAATTCTGATACATGCTAGAACATGGATGAACCTTGAAAATATAACGTTAAGTGGAAGCCAGTCACAAAATACCACATGTCATGTGACTCCACTTATATGAAATATCTAGAGTAGCGACTTCCTGAAGACAGAAAGCATATTGATTAGAGATTATCAGAGCCTGAGAGGTGGGGAAGGGAACGGGGTGTTATTGCTTAATGGCTATGGACTTTCCTTTTCTGGGTGATAAAAAGTTTTGGAAATAAATAGTGATGATGGTTGCACAACATTGTGAAGGTATTTAATGCCAAGAATTATACACTTCAAAATGGTTAACATGGCAAATTTTTTTTTTTTTTTTTTTTGACAGGCAGAGTGGACAGTGAGAGAGAGAGACAGAGAGAAAGGTCTTCCTTTGCCGTTGGTTCACCCTCCAATGGCCGCCGCGGCCGGCGCGCTGCGGCCGGCGCACCGCGCTGATCCGATGGCAGGAGCCAGGAGCCAGGTGCTTTTCCTGGTCTCCCATGCGGGTGCAGGGCCCAAGCACCTGGGCCATCCTCCACTGCACTCCCTGACCACAGCAGAGGGCTGGCCTGGAAGAGGGGCAACCGGGACAGAATCCGGCGCCCCGACCGGGACTAGAACCCGGTGTGCCGGCACCGCTAGGCGGAGGATTAGCCTAGTGAGCCGCGGCGCCGGCCAAGGCAAATTTATGTTATATATTACTACAACAAAATGTTTTCAAAAGAACCCTTAGAATTTAGAAGCAGAAGAAGGTTCTTTACTTTATAGTGAGTATCTATAAAATAATATCTTTAAACATCATCCTAACTAGAAAAGTACTGGAATAATTTCTCTAAAATAAAAATAAGACAAGATGGCTCAGTCTTATCATTTCTATTTAGCATGGTATTAAGGGCCATAGGAAGAAGGAATGGGAAGGAAGAAATAGAACTGTATTTTCAGATGACATAATTGCTTATACAGAATAATAAAAAGGAGATATGAGCAAATCATTAGAATTATAAGAAAGCTTAGCAAGTCTTTTGCATTTTTGTCCACTTGGAATAAACAACCAGAAAATGTAATTTAAAAGAAGATCACATTTTCAACAATTTCAAAGGATCTCAAGAATCTAGAAGTCACCACAAAAATACATTCAACCCCTCTACAGGAAGAATTATAACACTTTGTTAATAGCCAGTAAGATGACTCAATGACTTGAAGGATAGACCACATTGTGAAGAGGAAGACGCTAGCATAGTATTGCTCATCTCTACATTTCAATAAAGTTCCTGTCAAAGTGCTAACATGTGTTCTATGGAATTTAATAGGCTGGTTCTAAAATGTATAGGAAATAGTAAAAATGAGAAAAATAACCAGGACCTTTTATCAAAAAGATGAGCCTAGAGAGAAGACTTACTCCATCAGATAACATGCTTTTTTGTGAAACTGCAGTAATTAAGCCAGGATGGTATTGGCACTGGGACAGACAAATAGACCGTGGAAGAGAATGAAGGGCTCAGAAATAGACCTGAAACACATAGGGAACTTTGTTATATGACAGAAATGCCCTGCCAAATCAGTGGGAAAATAAATAGAACTAAGTAATAAAGGTTATCCATACAGAAAATATGAAATTGGATCTCTACATCAAACCATATACCAAAATTGATTCCAGATGGATTGAGGGCTTAACTATAAAAAAGAAACAGAGATTTAAAACTGTTAGCAAAAATCATAGGTAAATACCTCTTAGACTTTGAAATAGAAGAGGATTTCTTTAGCAACACTCTAAAGGTACTATTTATTTTTATATTGACAAATTTGGCCATGCTAAAATTAAGACCTATTTATCCAAAAAAATGAAAAATAAAATACAAATTGGGAAGCCACAAGCACATAGTATGCAATTATTCTTGCACAACAAGCATAACCTGGGTCTTTCAGGCAAACCAGACTCAAGGTCATCCTATCTCTGGCCAAAATTCTACTCGTGGTGTTAAGTTACAACAAACTTTTGCCTATGAACACCTTTAGTCTGGAGTTGGGCAGGCAATGTGTTTTGATGAATTTCAGAATGATCAATGCCTAAAGGGAAAAAAAGGGACAAGGGTTACTGGGAGATAAAAGGAAGGCTATTCCCCAGTGTAGAAGCAATAGACACATTTTGAAGAAAACATAAGTAAGCTCTATAGTGAACACAGAAAGCAAAAAGCACCCCTGAGTCAATATGGTCAGCGCCTGTTGTGGACATTTGTTCTGAGGTCTCCCCAAAGACACCTCCTAAAGGCACTGAGACTTCCCTTAGGAGAATCATTCCCTCCTCCATTGGATACATTCTCCTGGGCCCATTAATAACATTTTCCCATGGCCAAGGTGCTAGCATGAGAACTGCCTTAATCTAGGCTTCCTACATTAAAAATAGACCTTAAGACGTCCGGGTGTAAGTAATTCTTTTTGGGAGGTGACCCCGGGAAGCAATGTGAAAAGGAAGAGAGGAGGGGAGTGGAGGGAAGTACAGAGTAAGAGCCCATTACTGCTATGGGCAGCTGAGGCTCAATCCCATTTAGGAGCTCCCTGAGGGGGAGAGAAAGCTGGGTGTTCACACACACTTCCAGCCCCTCACTGAGGGAAGTTTAGTCCCCAGAAATTCTGGCCTGTCCTGCACAGACTCCTCAAGCCCACAGGTGTCTTCCAGAAGAGACACAGGAAGTCATCATCAGGTAAGGGAACTGTGTCTGCAGGTGACTCCATGGGAACATGGCTGGTGCACAGACAGCATTTGTTCCCCAACAAAGCTAAGCTCACTCCCAGGAAACTGAAAAGTCAGCAAGGTCTGGCACCGCTTCTATTAGAAGACCCTCCTTATGCCACCCCCCACCTAGCCTTCTAAAAAACCTGGTTTCCAGTCCATCTCCAGACTTAGTTCTACAGGTTCCATGAAAAATTCCAACACCCCTTGGATATTTCCAGTAAAATTTTCCAGAGTTGGTTTCTATTGTTTGGAACAACAACCACCAAAAAAAAAAAAAATCTATAACTGGTACACCTGGAGACCCATTACACTTACCTGGAGTTACCATCCACCTGGTACATCTGGACACCTGATACACCTGGAGATTGCTGATGCCAACCTGAGTCTTTAAGAATGTAATTCATCGGGGCTGGTGCTGTAGTGTAGCAGGAAAAGCCACCACCTGCAGTGCCGGCATCCCATGTGGGCGCTGGTTCAAGTCCCGGCTGCTCCATTTCTGATTCAGCTGTCTGCTATTGACCTGGGAAAACAGAAGATGGCCCAAGTCCTTGGGCCCCTGCACCCATGTGGGAGACCTGGAAGAAGTTGGCCCTTGCACTCACATGGGAGACCCGGAAGAAGCTTCTGGCTTCGGATCAGCATGGCTCAGGCCATTGTGGCCATCTGCGGAGTGAACTAGCAGATGGAAGACTTTCTCTCTCTCTCTCTCTCTCTCTCTCTCTCTCTCTCTCTTTCTCTCACTGCCTCTGCCTCTCAAATAAATAAATCTTTTAAAAAAATGTAATTCACCTCTGTGCCCTTCAGTATCTTCAGCTATAAAATGAAAGGACTGACAGAGATTCTTTCCAAGTTTCTACCCCATGCCAAGATTCTGATTGAATTTAAGACAACCAATGGTTGAACAACAGAAACTTCATAAAACTTATTCCTGTAACCTAAATTCCAAGCTGCCCTCTGTGCCACGTCTGAAGCCTACTATAAATAGCAATGGGATCATCGTGGGTTAAATATTCCCAAAAATCAGATGGCACCAAAGGCAAGCTCCTAGGTCTTACCCCTGCCCTATTTGGAAACACCAAAAACATACCTGATTTTTAAAAAGTACTTTGTGTTTGCCCACAGGAATTCTTCACATGGAAAGTAAGGCTGCCCACAGAATTCCCATCACACCAAATTCCCAGACCAAACATAATTGGATTTCTCTTCCTCACTCCCATTCCCGCAGCTTCTGGTGGGAGGAATGGAGCAAGGGCACACATAGTCCATTGTTCTCCTGTGTGGATTCAGCAGGCAGAGGCTGAAGCTGCGGTTGGTTATCACCTGCCAGCTAACGGGACAGTTGAGCCAACGCAGAAATGTTGCAGAACAGGAACAGAGTCTGGGCTCTGATCCTCCATGAAGTTGTGATGATTTCCCAAGGCATTCGGGGTGGGGCAGAGGCGGCTGATACAATGCGTGGCATGGCTGGAACAGCATGAAGGCAGCCATGGCGGCAGCTGTCTGTGTGATTTGGCAGCCCAGAGCTATTCTGACAAATCCAAACAAATCATCATCCCTGGCGTCCTAGTGCCTCAGGAAAGTCCTGCAATGGCTGCCCTGCTCTGGCCTCCCAGACAGGGCTGAGGAAAACATGCAGATTCTACGAGTTTAGGGCTTTCCTGGGGCATCTGCTCAATGCACCAGCTGCCACCCTTCCAGGCTGCTCTCTGCAAAAACCCAAGTTTCCATTAACTAATCATACATTTGCAACCCTTTCCACCGTGCCCCCAGCTAGCAAGGTGGGCCTCACAGCTCCATTTCCCCCATAGCCTGGCCTTATGGAAACCCAGCACCCATCAGGTAGCCCCAGACGGGAGCAGCTGAGATTTGCCCTCTGCCTATCTAAGCTAGCCCTGCCTTCCATCCCCAAGGCTTGCTAGCTGGGTTCTCACATGTGGCTGTCACCTGGAGGCACATCTCCAAGCCTGAATCCTGGTCGCTGCCTTTCCCCCATCCCTCCCACAGCTGCCAGGACAGCAACAGATCTGCCAAGGGTAGCCACAGTCACCTAGTTAGACACATTTTACTAGGGGAAATAGGATGGATCTGCCCGTACCAGTTGGGTACATGTTGTGCAATGAGTGGGTGGGAGAGAAATCCTGCCATGGATAATGGATATAGAAAAGAAATGGAGAATGAAAACAAAACAAAAACAAACAAACAAAAAAAACTTGCTCTTTTTGCCCCAGCAGAACTTTAAAGAGCAGCTGTGAAGAAGGCAATGAGAAGAAGGTCTGGTCGGCCGCTAGCAGAGACCGCTGGTTTCCTGCGGGGAGAGTTGTGGCCCTGTTGAGATGCCCCATCTTAGGAGCACTGGGGAAGTGGGGAGGGAGAGAAAATCTTGTCACTCACCAGCCAGCATGCTGCTCACATGGGGAAGGCAGTGACTGGGAGCCCATTATTCATGCTCAGATAGCATAATAAAAAACAATCCGTGTTGTGATCAACACCGTAATTTCTCGGGCTCCTTTTTCTGCATATATCTTAATATCCTGTTAGGTGGCCTGGACAGTAAGGCCAGAGGGTTCCTCCCAGAAATCAAGGAGAAGGGAAGGGAAAAGGAAGTGAGAGAAGGAGGAGGAAGGGAGGAGGGATAGAGAGAATGCTGGAGGGAGGGAGGTGGAACAGAGCTTTCACGGGAAAACACCTGAGCACCTAGTTTGCTGCCATGTACACAGCAGGTGCTCAATAAAAACTTGCTGGTGGTAGAGTTAAATGCGACTTCCTAGAAAAAGCCTGCTTTACTCTAAGTGAAATAAATATCTGCTGGATTGAATTGAATTGAAATAGGCAGCGGGTTAGTGGTGTAATCTGAGGAGCGATGGAAAAATGGTCCCTTGCCCCAAATCTCTCTGCTTCTGAAACTGCCAGAAAGCTGCAAATTTTCGGATTCCTCTTTTGGGTTAATGGGGTAATGAAAACCTCATTGAAAGGCAAATGCTGTCTGGGAGGGATAACCCGTGAAGCTACTTTTTCCATCATTCACACAGAGTGGCAAAGAGAATTCAGCCACAGCCAGCTCTGATGGAAACAGAGCTGTCCTGAGAGGCTCAGAGGCCACATGTGCTTCAGCGGAAAGCAGTACTGTGGGGAATCAACTTGTGTCTGCCAAGGGAGTGAAGGGGATTTGATACCAGGGGTGCCAGACTGAATTCTGTTATTATATTAACCCTAACAGAGAGCAGGCCCCTCGGGGAATGCAAGTTGAATGGGCATTCTGGAAGAGTTGAGAGCAGAAGAGTTTTGCCCAAAAGCATCCAGGGAATAAACTGTTGATGTGTGCTCTGAGGATACCAGGAGCCCCCGTGAGTCTGGTAGAAGAAGGCTGGAGAAAGGTTATTAGAAATCTAACTTCCCCTACTGTAATCTTGCCTTGAGTGCGTGCTTACTGCAGACCATGGCCTAGAGAACGAGCAATCATAGCTCTCGATTCTCCGTTACACGAATTTGCCAAGTTCTCCCAAGAACTTGAATGGCTCACTTCCTGGGCACCCAGGGCTAAAGTCAACAGCCTGGCACAAGCAAAGTCTTTGAAGCCTCCATGTTAGCTTACAAGTGCACCTGAAGCTTGCATCCTTTCATACGGCTCTTCGCTCTCTTGTAGAAATATTTAACTTACTATTGAGTTCTATGAGAGAGATGCTATCTGCTGTAACAGCTCAAGCTCAAAAGCTCGGTGGTTTAATACTTTACAGATGTATTTTTCCACCATAGAAAATGCATGTAGGTGTGGCTGGCCAATGGATAGCATACCCTTGGTCTTGTTATTCTACCTTCCTCCAGGAATTCCATGATATTTGCATTCAACAGGCAAGTGGGAAAAAGACTGCTTCTTACTTTCTGGGGTCCAGGGTTGACAGCCATCCCCCCTCACTTTCCATGAGCAAGAATTTGTCGTGTGCTTCCACTGAAATGCAATGGTACTGGCCAACAGACTCCCTGACTACTACCCAGAAACAACTCTGGGAAACTGGGAAGCCTTTCCGTCATCATTAATGTTTCACCTCACCATCTCCCCAAATCTGTGGGATAAATTAATCTTTCAGAAAGATTTGCTCAGTTTTTATCTTGCGTCTTTACTCATCCTGATCAGATGGCCACATACTCCCAAAAGAATATCCCCATTTAAGAAATGCGTAGGTAGTCCACTTTCAGTAAGATTAAATTTCCACTTGGAGCCTCAATGAAAAACCAATTTTAATGGACTACTCCACTCTACCTCCTCCTCTCCCTGTTCCTTCTCCTCCTCTCAATCCAGTTAGGTACCATCAAGATTTTTAAAGTGGGCCCAAAGCCATGCTGAATATTGCCAGGAAATGGCTGGCTGGCTGTCCACCAAGAGGCCTTCCAAAGTGGCATTATCTTAATGAATTTTTCACAGTCCATGGTCTAGCCAGAAGACTTTCAGATCCAAAAGTTCAATCTTGTTAGCATTCCAAGATTTTCCTGACTCAGGAGAGCTGACTATGTGAACTGAAGTCACAAAACACCAAAACATCTCACCAAAATGTCAATACTTCTATTGACAAGGGGCTATGCAACTGTCCAGGAGAGCAAATGTTCAAATTATTCTACTCAGCATTTTTTTTTCTCACTGCAGAAAATCCACCAAGGAGGTCAAATTACAATCAACAAGCTCCTTGGTGCATCTGGATGCAGAGCACGGATCCTTTAGCGGATGACTTGAAAGGTTAATGGCGTCGGGAGACTGGGTCCCACTGAAGCTGTCACCTCTAGAACATTCATGCGAACTTGTCAGGGAGTCCCTTTGGTCTGTCCTGTCTTAATTCTGTGCTCCCCAACACCCTCTCTGATTGACACGCTCCTTCGACACACCCATGCCATCAGTGGATAATGGCCAGATCTGCACTCTGCTTTCTTCTGACACAGAGGCTATTTTGTCTCTAAGGTACATTTGTCTATGGCCTTGTCTGCTGTGTTAATTTTCTAAAGTAGCTCACAGAGCTTCGAAAAGGAGGAGAGGGGGAAAGGGCAGGGAACTCACTCTCATCTCTGCCTACACCAACTGATATTATCCTACAACTAAGTATAAGCTGATTTGGAGGTCTCCGTAGAAATGTCTGGATATTTGTAGATCTTTGACTGAAAAAAATATTTTTCACCTCTTTTTCTGGAGCCTAGGCAGACTCAGCAAGATGCCTGCAGTCCTCCCTTCAAGGCTGTAACCCAGAGCTGCTGGGAGCCAGCACACACTGAGGGATGAGTCTCGATCAAAGCCAAGCAGGGTGGACGAGTTCAGCACCACGGAAGCTTTTAGTTGCCCTGAGCAGACTGTGGAGAGATCAGGGAAAGGTCACTACCCATGGTGCCAGGAACAGGCCTGGACCCCAGTGGCAAAGAGGGTTCCAGTGAAATGGAACAGGCAGAAGCTGAGGAATCCAGTAGTACAAAGAGGCTCCTTCTTATTGGATATGGGCTAGTAGGAAGCCCAAGACTGACCCAGGCACCGAGCTGGCGGACTGGGAAAACAACCTTCTTGAACTGGGTTTGCAGCATCAACAGGCAAGTGCATGGGATGCTCAAGAAAGGGACTCCAACATGGACAACCACAAAGCACAGGCCCCAGCCACATCGTCCTTACTGCCGGCCAGGTTACTGACACATAAAGGGCTTGCTTTGTGCTTTCAGCTCTGACAATAATTGGAAGCTTGTCTTCTGCAATTCACTTTATCTCCCTGAGACTTAGTTTTCTCTTCTTGTTCAATGAAGCATTTGAGATCAGGGCTGCCCAAGCGCCTCTCCTGAGCAATAGTCATACTGTGCCTACCAAGATAAAGCATCCCTGGAACCACTTATCTATTCCTATCCCACACTGAAAATATCAACCTACTGGGAAAAGGATTTTTAAAACTTTTAACTTATACATAAAAAGTGTCCAAAATAGTCCTGTAGCAAGCTCCCAGACTAAGAAATGGTACTCCTACCAGCATCTCAATGGCTTCCCCATGTCTGTTCTCTATCTTCCCCCAGAAAATAACTACAGTCCTAACTTCTAGCAGGATGAAAGATTAGTTTTGCCTATTTTAGAACTTTATATAAATCAAATCATACAATATGTAGTCTTTTGTGACTGGCTTCATTTCTTCAATTATTTGTCTATGAGACTCACCCACAGTATCACATGTAACTAGAGTTGGTTATGTTCTTGTTGCTTGACAGAGTTCCATTGCTTGAACATACCACAGATATATTTATCCATCATAGTGTCCAAGGGCTTTTGAATTGTTTCTTATTTGGTATCATGAAGAATGTTGCTACAGAAATTCTTGTGCAGGTCTTTAGGTATGTATTTGGAAGCATTCACACATTAGTTATCCGTTGCTATGTAACAGATTGCCAAAAAATTCAATACAACATATATTTGTTATCTCCCAATTTCTGTGGGTTGGGATTCTGAACTGGACCTTCAGTTTTATGGTCTCTCCAAGAGTGCAATCGCGTACCAGTAAGGGCTGGGGCCTCATCTGAAGGCTCAACTGGGGAAGGATATCCCCAGACCATTAGCCTGATGATTTCAGGATCTAGCTGGCTGTTGGTCAAAGGCCACACTCAATTCCCTGCCATGTAAGCCTCTCAGTGTGCAAGCTGAGAAACAATAGAGATTCTGCTAGCAAAGTGGAAATTACAACTTTACATAATAGCGTGGGTGTGGTATCCCTTCGCAGTGACTGTACTCTATTGACTGGAAGCAGGTAACAGGTGCCATCCCCTTCAGTGGGTTGGGTTTACACAGCAGGATGAATCCCAGGAGGAGGGAATCACTGGGGTCATCTTAGAGTCTGCCACCATTTCTGTTAGGACTGTAACTGGGAATAGAACTGTTTTCCAAAGTGATTACACCAATCGGCACCCTCAACAGCATTTGTTCCACAACCAGGATTGGCTTTTATACTGGTTTCCTTCTGATGTGAGTTATCAAACTGTTCCTGGCATGAGAAAAAAT